ATGGCTATTTTGACTTTATTAGTTCTGCCTATCTAAGAATAGGGATATCTTTCCATTTTCTGATGTCTTCTTTCATTTTCTTTTTTCAGAGTACTTTAGTTTTCGTTGTAGAGGTCTTTCACTTCCTTGGTTATGTTTCTTCCTTTCTTTTTTTGGTACCAGGGATTGAACTCAGGACCTTATGCTTGTGAGGCAGGTGGCGGAACCACTGAGCTAAATCCCCGGCCCTTCCTTGGTTATGTTAATTCCTAAGTATTTAATTTTTCTTGGTGCTATTGTAAGTCTTTTTTCCTTAATTTCTTTTCCAGTGGGCTAATTGTTAGTGCACAGGGATGGTATTGATTTTTTTGTGTTAATTTTTGTACCCTGCTTCATTAGTAAATTTGATTATTAATTAGGAGTCTTTTGGTGAAATTTTTGGGGTCATCTGTGTAGAGGATCATGTCATCTGCAAATAATGATACTTTGACTTTTTCCTTTCCTGTGCATATCCCTTTTATTTCTTCCTCTTGCCTAGTTGCTCTTGCTAATGTTTTGAGTAGTATGTTAAATAGAAGTGGTGACGGTACACATCTTGTCTTTTTCTTGAATTTTTAAAATTAATTTTGTTGGTACTCTTTTGACATACATAATGATCACATTTATCATAAGGAATTTGAATCTGTACATAATATATCTTAAATCTTCTTTTTTTCCCATTCCCCTCCCCCTCTTCAACCTTTCTTCCCCTCTTTATTTATAAAAGCTTTGTTTTCATTTTTTCCTTCCATTCTTTTTTTCTTTTCCCCTCTCCCCTCCCTTGTTCCCCTTCCCATTTGAACATTTTCTTTCTACTTCCTTGATTTTTAGAGGAAAAGTTTCACTTTTCCCCCATTTAATATGATGTTGGCAGTAGGTTTGCCATAAATGGATTTTATCAGCATAAGATAAAGTCCTTCCCTACCTGTTTTCAGGAAGGGGTGGTGAATTTTATTAAAGGATTTTCTATGTCTATTGAGATAATAGTGTGATTTTTGTCCTTGCTTCTGTCTATGTGATATACTACATTTATTGATTTGGGTATGTTGATAAGAAGACCATTCTTACATCCCTGGGATTATGCCTTCTTGGTCATGATGTATGATCTTTTGATAATTTGTTGTATTCTGTTTGCCAGTATCTTGTTGAGAATTTTTTTTTGCATCTTTGTTCATTAAAAAGATTGGTTTGTAGTTATCCTTTTCCGTTGGATCCTTATCTGGTTTGGAGGCAGGGTCATGCTCACTTCCATGAATGACTTTGGGAGTATTCCTTCCCTTTCAATTTCATTAAAGAATTTGAGGAATATTGGTGTTAGATCTTCCATGAAGTTTTTGTAGAGTTCAGCAGTCAATTCATCCAAACCTGGGCTTTTCTTAGTTAGTAGGGTTTTTTTTATTATTATAGCTCCAATCTCATTATCTGTTACTGGATTATTCCGGGTTTTTAAATCTTGGTTCAGTTTTGGTAATTCATATGTATCTAGGAATCTGCATTTCTTCTGGATTCTCCCACTTATTGGCATGCAGTTTTGTGAAGTAGTTGTTAATAATCTGCTTGATTTCAGCAGTGTCCATTGTAATTTCACATTTTTCATTTCTAATTACATTGATTTGAGTCTTTTCTCTCTTTTTTTTTGTTAGATTTGGTTAAGGATTTGTCCATTTGTTTATTCTTTCAAAGGACCAACTCTTGGATTCATTGATTCTTTGTTTTGTTTTGTTTGTAGACCAGGTTTCTTAGCATGCAGTCTCAGGGCAGCATTCTAAGAGAATAAGCCCTAATGTAAAAGCACTTCTCCTGCCTGTTTGACCCACGTTTGCCAATTTCTCATTGATAAAACTGGTCACATAGTCACATTCAGAGTCGATCAAGGAGGTGATCACACACAGCATGACTATCAGGCAAAGGGACTTACTGGTTAAGCAGTCTGCCACAGTCTGCCCTCTGATCCCAAAGATTCATATTCTTTGCATATGCAAAATATATCACCTCCCAAGACCCCCAAATTCTCATTCATTTCATGGCATCTGTGATCTCATAATTTGTGCGAGATCTAGATATGGACATGGCTCCATGGATGCAGCTCCTCTTGATTCAGAAACCTGGAAAGTAAAAGAACATACCCAGTAAACAACAGTGACTCTGGAACAAGATAATCATAATTGTCACTTCCATTACAAAAGAGAGAAAGGGGCTGGCGATTTAGCTCAGTGGTTCCGCCACCTGCCTCACAAGTGCAAGGTCCCAAGTTCAATCCCCAGTACCAAAAAAAGAAAGAGAGAAAAATGAGAGGTCCATAGCAGTCACTGGTGCAATAACAGTTCTGTTCTGTAGCTGAGCATGTTGCCAAAGCCACCTACTCCATGAGTACAGATGTTTTTTTATTATGGTCCAGTTCTCCTCACTAGAAGTGGTTTCCTAATCTGCTGTTCTCTGTGGCTGCTATCTCTGCTGTCTGCGGTATCTTCCTTTTCGGTGAAAAATGGTTCATATGTACAGCTTAGTGGTAGTCTCAGCCTGCTTCTTGCTGACAGTAAGCAGGGGTCCAGAAGCAGTTTTCCCCACATTATAAGCACTGTTAGGTCTAGCCCAAATTCATACAACTTTCTTAAAAACTGTTTGGGATTTCTAGGAATCTGATTGGAATTCACTCCATGCCCTATAAGCCACATGCATGATTCTGTGATAGCCAACCCGACTCCATCTTGTGCCTCAGTGCCATTTTGTACCTGTGCTTGGACAAAGTGCTTATGCTTGGACAAAGTGTTTGTGCTTGGACAAAGCACCCAAAACCCCCGCATTCTGTTTGTCAGTACACTTGCTGCAGTTGCAGGATGTTTTGTAGCTCACCTAGTGTGTGAAACTTACTTGTGCCCCCTACTAGCCTGGCATGGTTCTGCTTCTGAAAGATTCTGCTTGCTCTCCCCGGAGCCCTCCCCAACTGAAAGCATAATTTCAAAGGAGAAATCAAACTGCTTCCCATTACCGAGAGAACTTTCCGGGCACTAGCCCCCACCTCGGTCGCTGGCTTTAATAAATGGGCTCAAATCTGCCACAGAGTGTGGTGCATCTCTGTTGTTCTACCTCACTCGTCCATAACAATTCTTTTTGAGACAGACCTTTCTAATTTAAACTGAGAACGAGTCTGCTATGGGACAATACCCTTAAAATTCCTAAGAGCCCTTTTATCCAACTGAGTGGTCTACCATGTACCACATTCAATTTTTAGAAATACCCAACACTGAGTTAAAGGAGGAAAGATTTATTTGGCTTACAGTTCATAAAATTGTCACTCCATAGTCAGGTGGCTCCAAGACAGGGCGGCATGGCAGAAATCATCACAGAGGAGAAACAGTAAGTGACAAAGCAGGGCAGACAGAAGGCAGCAAACAGCAAACAAATGACACTAGCCCTCTTTCTGTGTCTTATTTTATCCAAGCTACCTCCTCTTAGGATGGGTAGCACCCTTAATCCTACCCAGAACTATGCTAAACCAATCAGTGGACTAATTCAGTAAGCACACACCCTTAATCCTAGCAGCACACACCCCTAGATCCAGCCACCTCCAAAAAGCCCCACCTATAACCACCTGAGGCTTTGGGGGGACATCTAGTTACAAGCTATAACAGCAACTAAAGCCAACTGATATTTTTGGAAATCTTATCTAGATCCCTAAATTTATTAGATGTCATAGATTTCAGACATTGAAGTATATCTTTCAAGTTACTACAGGAAACAGTTTATCCAGTTGTTACACTATCTTATGACACAGTGTGCTCTTTTTCAGTCCTCTAGTAGCAATTTTTCTACCTTTGTCACTAGCCCCCACCATTCAGACTCAAAGCCATTGACACACAGTTAGGCTTTTGTTGCAGTAGCATTCTTCGACATACCTGTTTCTGTATCACATGTCTATTGGCTGCATAACAGACCACCCTATATTTTAATGACTTGAAACAACCACTTTATCTCTTACCGTTCTGTGAATTGAGTGGATGATTCTTCTGTCTTAAGGTTGTTAGTTGCATAATTATCAGGCGTTGCTTGTGTCATATTCATTGACCCTAGTCACATGGCCAAGCCTAGAGTTAATGTGGAGAGGACTACATAGGAGCATGGAAATCAAAAGATATGACTTATATAGGGCCATTTGTAATGTTAGATGCCAATGAATTTCCAACTCTGCATTACTATGTGTCCTTGAAAAGTCATTTTACTTGTGTATACCCATTTTCTCACCTATGAAAAGGGGTTAGTAAATACCCATTATAAAGTTGTTATGAGCTTTTTAATTTTTAATCATTGTATTTTTTATGATTATAAAACTAATAATTTTGTCATTGTATAAATGTAAAAATCCATAGAAAAATATTAAAAAGAGAACAAACATCTGAAATCTCATTTGATACAGCACTATACTATAAGCTCCTCAAGGCCTTTTCTATCTTATTTGTTACTGTAGACATATATATTTTTTTTTTCCCTTGTTCTATAGGGTACATTCTTGAAGGAAGAGACTTCACTTTATTGTCTCTTGAATCCCATAACTTTACATTTAGGGTTAAAAGAGATAATGTACATAAAGTACTTGGACTAGTGTCTGGCACAGATTATATTTCCACTTAAATTAGTATTCTGTTAGATACAATCAATGATTCTCAAAAATCTTGAAGTTATAAGACAGCACAGTATCTAAATGGAACAGTGGAGGGTAACTCTCCACTGGGCAACTTCTCCCTAGGACATCCCAGTGACTTGTAGGGTATAGAGAGTGAGGAATGTTTAGAGAGAAAGGTGTCAGAATCTGCTTATAGATATGAAACTATTCAATAGAGAGGCCTCTCTTAAAAGCTTCATTCATTAAAAAGAAATAATCTCCCCTGACAGAATCTAGAAAGTATTTTATTGTTGAAAACTGAAGGCTGACAATAGTGATAAAATTATATTTTTGATACTCAAGTCTTATCTTTATGTTTTAGTCAAAGAAGTTTGGCAGAGATCACAGAACTTATCCATACTGCTCTCCTTGTGCATCGCGGGATAGTAAATTTAAGTGAATTGCAGTCTTCTGATGGACCACTGAAGGACATGCAGTTTGGAAATAAAATAGCTGTCCTGAGTGGAGACTTTCTTCTAGCAAATGCCTGCAATGGACTAGCTCTGCTACAGAACACCAAGGTAAAAATGGATGGGGCTTGCTTGTGCCTAGTCTTCAGGTCTGTGTACTTCCTGCCCAGCTTCCCCTTCATAGATGCTCAGTAAAACCCTGATGAAGATGGCAGGTAAAAGTGATAAATGCTAGAAAAGAGTTTTGAACTTAATGTCTATTTTTCTCATTGTGGATGAAATTATTTGTTGATTAAAGTATACTGTTAAATATTCAAAATAAAGGATATATAAATAAATATTATCTATAATCTCACTAGTTAGTGGATTAATATTTTGATATATTTCCTTCAGTGTTTATGTTGTTGCATATTCACACCTTTATAAATAGGAATATTTTTTGTAGCATAGTTGAGAGCTTTCTTATGTATAAAGTTTTGTTTTGTTTCATCCTGCCTTATTATTTTACAACCTTATATTATAATGTGGGCTTTTCCCTATGTTAGTGTTTTCATACACTTTTTAGTAATAATATTTAGATATTACATCATTTATTTAACAAATTCCTCATTGTTCAACATTTAGTCTGCTTCATATTTTTATCATCACAAATAGATTTACAAGAAATACCGTAATATATCAGTTTTCTCTGTTCCAGATTATTTAATGTATTTAAGAGAAATACCTAAGGGCTGGGGATGTAACGTGTTATCAGAGCACTTGACTAGCATTTGTGCAGCTCTGCATTCAATTCCTAGCACCACAAAGAAGGAAAAGTAGGACCAGGGATTTAGCTCAGTGGTGCTGCCGCCTGCATCGCAAGCACAAGGCCTGGAGTTCAATCCCCAGTATCAAGAGAAAAAAAAAGGAATATTAAAAATGTTTAAATTCTGTAAAGTACTTTTAGGTACTATTTTTTTCCCTTTCCTTTTCTTTTTTTTGGTACTGGGGATCGAACTCCCGACCTTGGCGCTTGCAAGGCAGGTGCCAGAACCACTGAGCTAAATCCCTGGCCCAAAATGCTTTATTAAAAACCACTAAATTTTTATTTCTCAAGAAAGTTGATAAGAAATGTGTAACTTGCACAAAATGTTTGTTGACATTTGCTATCCACCACAGAAACCTTTGTGATATCATTGACCAACTACATGAAAACAGTCAAATCTGCTGTCAAAGTATCAGGAACTACTTCAAAACTTAGTAGTTAAATTAAGAAAACTCCTTGAAGATAATGATTTAACGCATGCAGTGCAGAATGTATGTCTCTTCTAAGTTAATTTAAATCATTTCAACTACAGCTGGGGATTTAGCTCAGTGGTGCTGCCGCCTACCTCACAAGCGCGCAAGGTCCCAAGTTCCAAAATTTTTGGTCCCAGTACCAAAGATAAAAATAACAATAAGTAAGTAAAATCATTTCAACTACAAATTCTTATGTGCACATAAGGAAAAAGGAAGCTGTAGTGCTTATGCTTGTTGGATCCATGAGCAGAACTTTGCAACAGTTAAGTAATTCGAGTTTTAGTTCAGTGTCATCGGGTGCTTCAAATAATGAAGTCATTTAAGTTAATTCTAAAATTGGTTTGAATTTTTTCTTCCCACCTATTAATGGGATCAAGGTAAAGCTTTTGGAAGTGTAAAGCCTTTGCAAATGAGATTGGAATTCTGTTTGAAAGTGCAATATTGAAGTTGAAGTTATTTTACAATAACTATACAAGTACAAATTTTGGCATTGTGGTATAAAAACAATGTCTTCAGTACATTAAGAAATCTATGGAGTAGCTGGAATTGTTTGTGGCACACATATAATTTATAATACCATCCAAACATTCATCAACATTCCTCTCAAATACAAACTATTGCTGCCTCAACATTTACAAATATCTTCATAGTCACAGTTCCTGATCATAAGTTTTGGGAGATGCAGCTAATGTGGAGTGTAAAAATACATGTCAGCATAGCAATATGTGTTGTTTCTGTGACATCAATCAGATTTTAGAAAATCGTTGTAAATCAGTCTGTGCCCAACAGTGGTATTGAACATTGTTCTAAATGAGTCACCAACAGTTATTCATACTTAGCCTGAACTGCATTCTATAATAATTTCTCCCAAGTTTCTGGAATGTTTTTTAGACTTTTTGGATGTGCAGCAACTTACATGTCTGAAGTTACTCGAAGGCACCACTTTTAAGAAAGCTTACAATTGGGCCCTGTACCATCCCAAATCCTTTGTAACTCCTCTTGGATATTTTTGCCATAATTATAAAAGGATAGTTGAACAAATAGCATCACCATTCTTTGCTGTGGCACAGGTTATCAACTTAAGTGGAGTTGACGGGCAGCATCAAATGTTTCAGCTTTAAAAAATAAAAGTAGGGGGCTGGGGATTTAGCTCAGTGGTTCCGTCGCTTGCCTCACAAGCACAAGGACCGAAGTTCGATCCCTGGTACCAAAAAAAAAAAAAAAGTAGGGTACAAGTTACATGTTTAGTTCTAGAAAATTTGTGCAATATGTTCATAACGATGGCTGTGGTTGCTACAAAATGCCTTGTTTACCTTTAAATACTGTTCGTGTGTCATGCATGCAGATGAAAGGGATGGGACTGTGCGCTCAAGTTGGGGCTTTAACTGTAGTATTTGGCAGAGTTGCCTTCTAGCTGCCAATTGAAGAAAAGTTCAACCTGTTTTCATATAGAACATATATACTAAAAAGTTTCAGTCTGTTAAACAGCTTTACTCTGATCCAGCCTCTTCAGATAATCTTGTGCAGTAATCGCTCTGTGTGTAAATGCTATGCACTGAGGATACACACACACACAAAAGGATGTGTACAGGATAATGCCTCATACGAATCAGATGTCCATTTGTTACTGTGTTAACAACCCTTTATCTCTTAGTGTTATAAACTCCACTTAAAACTGATTAAAAGTCTCATTCTTGTCAAATAAATAAGTCACCAAATGAGTAGTGACATCTTGTATAAAATCAATTGGGAATCTTAAATTAAATATACAACACATAGAACACCAAATGAGATTTTTAGGGAAAAAAGTCTTCCATTGGAAAATTTCCCTACAAACCAAGGAAGTACCTGAACACATGATATACAAGGTTAAAATTTTCAAACCTGTAGTCATGATTTTAAATATCACACCTTTCAGGAAGAATCTGTTGGTGGTGGCCCTATGTTCAATAAATTGGACACACAGACAAACACACACAAATTAAATGAAATCAAGAAGGCCTAAATTTTGCAGCATCTAAATTTGGCAAAACAATCCAAAAAATGTTAAAGATGATTTATTTGACAAAGTTTGTCTTGGAAAAATATTTGTCAAAGAAACTCTCAAGGAGGCAGAAAGATAGTGCCTATGAAAATATTTGGGCTGAAATATTTACACTATTCAGAACTTTTAAAATTAGCATCAATTGTGTCCTCCTTTTAGCAGATTTGCTTTGAGTTTAGTAGGTTCTCAGAACCTGTAAAAAGAGCATTTTCCTAATTTGAAATACTATGGTCTTCTGAAGAATCAATTGAAAATACCTATAATTTCAAAAATTAATTAAACATAAAATGCAACTGATGAATATTGCTGGCAATTTTATTTTCAAATATTTTTAAAACACATCTTAAAAAAAAAAAAACACCCACGTCTTTAGGTGCATGTCTATAATCCTAGCACTTAGGATCCCCGTGAGTTCAAGGCCAACTTGGGCTCCATAGTGAGTCCAAGGCCAGCCTAAACTACATAGTGAAACCCTGTCTTTAAAAAAAAAAACACAAAAAAAAACCCTTTAGGAAAAAGCCAGTAACATAAAATTAGAACAAAATATATAGTTAAGAAGTGGGCTAAAGTATGTGTATCTGCATCAAGAGTAATTATTCCAAGCCAGGCATGGACAGTAGACAAAGCCAGAAGGGTTGTGAGTTTAAAGCCAACCTAGGCAACTCAATGAGACCATTTCTCAAAATAAAATTTAAAACTTGACTGGGGATACAGTTCAGTAGTAGAGCACCTGCTTGTCATGTGTAAGGCCCTGGGTTCAATCCCCAGTACCTCAAAAAAAAAAAAAAAGCTACTTCTACTTGTTATTTTTTAGTGTTCAGATAATCAATATAGACATTCCTTGTTTATCAACCAAGTTCTATTCCTATGGCTAAGTCATTAATTGAATTAGTCACTAAATGAGGAAATGTAAGCCTGCTGCAGACAGGCAGGTCTGCAGATGTGGTCCCAAGGTCGCCAGTCGCGCAGAAAACACCAAATCAGCCCACTGCAGACAGGCAGGTCTGTGGACGTGGTCCCAAGTTCGCCAGTCATGCTGAAAACACCAAATCAGCCCGCTGCAGACAGCCACCTGGTTCCACACTACAAAGACACAGAGGACACCGGACCACCAGACCACTGTACTGGAGCTAATCAAGTTCTCAGCATTTAAAGAATTCCTGCCCAGAGGTAGGGGCTTCTGAGCCGCCAGACGTCCTGCCGTTCCCGGCCCCTGGCCCCTGGCCCCTGGCCCACCTCTCCCAGCTCAGAGGAGGTGAGCCACGTGGACGCCAACAGCACCCCCCCTGCCCCCCCAGTCAAAATGAGAAAACATGTAAATAAGTCTCAAAACCAGATATCCAGATCACCTACAGCAACCCCAAAGGGAAATGAGATGGAACACTCTGATACTCAATCACCTGGACCCACTGAACTGGCAACAAAAGGGGATCTGGAAAAAATGAAATCAGAAATAATTTCTCAGATAACAGGAGAAATTGTGTTCCTAGTGCAAGACATGATTGATTAATAAATCTAGAGAGGAACTGAGGAACATGATGGAATCCCAACATAGGAAACAAATAGAATCCATAAAACAGATGCAAACAGATTTCCAGGAGATGAAAAGCTCCATTGAAAGTCTACATAGCAGAATGAGCCAATGTGAGGACAGAATTTCGGATGTAGAAGATAAGATTGCAATTAATGACCAGGAAAAGAAAAATTGTTTCAAAATTATAAGGGAACATGAGAAATCAATCCAGCAGCTGCTAGACGATGCAAAGAAGAATAACATAAGACTGATTGG